GATTTTCTCATAAACTGGCTCTAAGGACAAATCCAAATGTGTTCAGAGCAATGGCAGCACTGTTGGAGCAAGTGTGGGGTCTCCCATGAGGACCATGTTAAAGGATAACATTCGTTTGGGTTGTAGACTTTCTGGTGTGTTTGTTTACATAAAGCCGGCCTCATTAGTTTATAGTCACACCTCTTAGACGTGCCCTGAACCAGTCCCAGCACCAGCACGAACCCCCAACTACCACAGAAACGAGGGGTGCATCCTGACAAGTCTGCCAAAATTGTAATACCGGTGTCTGTGTCCTACTCAAATGACAGTTACTATGCAGTTGCATTTTATGAAGTAACTGAACATAACTCATTCTGGGAGACATTTCCTAGTCCCATTTACAGTATCCAAGAGAAAGCAAGAGAGAGGAGTTCACAAAGAAATGCAGAGAGAGGGGAGATGGTTTGACGAGGAGGGAGAATGCTACCCTAGGAAAGGGCAGAAAGACTAAGAGTGAGGAGCATTCCACCATTCTTACCTTCATATTATTAAACTGTGTAAAAATAGGCTACATCTACAACCAAATTCTACAACAGGTACCCCAAATATAAATTACTGGAAAACTTAAAGGTTTTTTCCATACATTTATGAATCTCACACACACACGATGTATTTGTGTGTATGTGCTAAAATTCGATACCTGTACTTCCCAGCAGCATAAGAAAGGGCTTAAAATTACAACTGAAAATTACAATTGAAAATTTCTAAGTACCTACTATGTGCCAGATACTGGGATTAAAAGGCGAGACAAAATCCATGTGAGTGATGGGATTTGCACATGGTAGATATGCAAAAACAACAACACCTGGCTTCGTTATGATTACTTATTTACAGAGCCTAAATGATGCCAAATAAATAGCCTCAGAAAGGCTAGGACCTCGATGATTCAGTAAATTCCTCTGGAGACTGTTGGACTGTGATTTGATGGTATGAGTTAGTGAGGATAAGGGAGGGTTTATGACTAGGGACTTTGCCATGCAGAGACAAGTCTTTCTCAGATATCACTGTTCAGTTAAACATGAGTAGTCATGGACACTGTAACACTGAATGGATGAACTATCAAAGGCACAGCCTCCAGGTATCCTGAAGTATCTCTGTACATCAGCTTTCCTAACTTCAGTCCTTTCAGATTCTGTTTCCTGAACTTGGCACACCAGTCTTAGAGGAAGTACTTGGGATGCTATTATAATAGTGACTGAAGTTTTCTTCTAGAAGGTATAAGTATTACTTTGTGCTGCTTGCCTAAAGGTGAGAGGAACAGAAAAAAGTCGCTAAGATAGTAGAGTCATCTAATGAGCAGGTGGGAGTTCTGAATACATTTAACCTTTGCAGTGTACAAGTTTGGGTGGCCACTCTGGGACTTGCCCTGTGAATAAGAAAATGTACATGGTTGAGTTTCAAGCTGTGTTTATAGTTCTATGATTGAGGAACTAAAGACTGGAAGACAGGGCCACACCAATGGTTAGGAGTTAAGTCCCTAAACTCCTCTGTGTCCTTGTGATTCCTGTTACAAAATGGGAGAATTACAGAGGACTTTCTTCCGAGTTGTGCTGGATTCTAGATTGGCATAGTAGAAAGAGTACTGGGCTAGTTTTCAGAAGGGAACACACAGGGGGAGAAGACAGAAAATTAACCCTATTAGAAACCCTGCATTCTGCTTTGAAATACTTGACAAGCATTAGTAGAGGAACAGATGGAGAATCAGGGAAGGAAGGAATTGAGCATCTATGGTGTGATAGAAAGAGTGCTAATGCTTTTCCACAAATACCAAAGAATTGAATACTAAAGACCTGGGTTCAAATCATGCCTTCACCACTTATTAGTTTTGTAGCATTGGGTGAATTATTTGACTTATTCCAATTTTCTCATTGAAATGGGAGTTAGTTTCCTCATTTTAGCTCATTGGCTAAAATGAGGAAACTACCATCTCACAAGCCAGCAAAAACATTGTTGAAATATGTAAAGCACTCTAGGAACTTAAGACTTCATTGTTATTTTTCTTCTCTTATACCCTGTCTCTGAAGTTACTGGGGAACAATTTGTAGCAGGTATTTGCTTATTTGGTTCTGGCTGGCAAACTAGTTGGTGGGCTGTCTCATATTCAAGTGCACAATAGCACTTTCTTTTGTATTTGGTATATGAAATGAATTAGAAATACCTGAAAACAGACTGTGTTCTTTTGTCCTGCCTCTCTCCTACAGGAATGGCACCTTAGTGCATAGAACAGGATTTTAGCACACACGGAAAGATGCAGGGTCCAATGGCCACAGCTTTCCGTTATTGGTTGTTTGGAAAGGCAGTAAATTTGCATAAAGGGACCTCAGGCACTGGTGTCCCACAGACTTGGGGTTAAGTTTTTGGTATGCTTGGGTCAGTCATTTAGCCTTTCAGCATGAAACTTTCCTCTTTGAAATGCAGTTAATAACACCATCCTGAAGGGCTAGAGTGAAAAATGGAGATATGTATGTGGAGACTTCATAGATAGATACTCAGTCAAGATTCCTTTGCCGTTTTTACACCTGTGGGAGTCCGTACCACTAAGTCTTTGACTTGTTGGGTGGCCAAGATGACTTAGGTGTCATATTTCCCAGAGGCTAAAACCTGGGTTGATCTCTCACTGTCCTTTCCAACTTTGTGATGATAATTGTGGTTATCATTCTCGAGGGAGTAAAACCAGGGATATTTGAACACATTTTATTTTGGTTTAACAAGATATTTAGTAGTTGGATTCTTTTATAGAGATTTAATTATGCACAAAGAGGCTTGGGGAGAGTTGGGAGTCTTACTAGTTTAATGGAGAATTCTTTGTAGCGTCTTAGGTAAGTAGGACTAATGTTTCATCCAGCCCAGTGCAAGCAACATCTGAATGAATGGTCTCCTTGTTTTTACAGAATGGGGCTCAGTCTGCATTCTCTATGTTCAGACCCTCTGATTCTTCCTCCACTGCTCTCTCACTGGATCTTCGGGTCAGACGTTATTGCAACATAAACTGGAAGGTAGCAAATAAGCCCTTTTGATTTCTTCGATCCTTCTTTGCCCATCCCTGCAAATCCTCCAGTCTACTAAAAGGAAGCAACACTTTGATGATGACGCTCTTACTGAAGATGAAGAGCCCCAATCCTGTGGAACCCAAACCCTCACACTCTTTGACATGGATGTGGTGAGCTTAGCATTTTTAAAATAAAGAGTTTTCTGATACAAGGATCTGTCTCTGGACCTAGTCTTTGGGTGGCAGGGGTTTATGAAATTTAGAGCCAGAGACGTGACCTCTAATTACATATTTGCTTGCTTCTCTTTCAGCCTCTGGGTCTCACCACTTGGAAGTAAGTGAATCAGTATTAGTGAAACTAACAGTTTGATGAGTTTACTTTTTTTCTTTTAGGAAACATAAAAACTGTGGCTCAGAGCCATTGTGGTCACTGGGTCAGAGAGTTTGCACCAAGGGGAATGTGAGTGCCTACCTCAGAATGTTGCTGCGAGGATTAAAGGAGTGAATACACGTAAAGTGCTCAGAATAGTGTCTGACCAGGGGTAGGGTTGTATGATTTTATCCCATCCACTCCTGGGTAGGGTCTGCCATTGGCCCCAGAGCAGCTCCCTTTGGCTAGTATCCTCAGCTCGACTCCAGAAAGAAGCCATTCACAAAAGACCACATATTATATGATTCCATTGATATAAAGTGCCCAGAATAGGCAAATCTATGGAAACAGAAAGTAGATTGGTTGCCCAGGGCTGGGAGCAATGAGAGGTTAAGGTGATAACTAATGGGTTTGTTTGTTTGTTTTGAGGGGGCGGGGGATGCTGACAGTGGTCTAAAATTGTGATGATAAGTTTCACAATTCTGTGCATATACTAAAAACCAGTGAATTGTATGGCATGTGAATTATATCTGAATAAAGCTGTTAAGAAATACATCCAGAATTCCACCCGTCTGCCATCAGGGTCATTAGCGTGCTAGTCCAAACAACTGGCATCTGTCTTTTGGACCACTAAAACTAGACTCCTAACTGCTCTTCATAATTGCCTCACCACTGTCTATTCTCCACAGAGCACTGTAGTGATCTTTGAAAATGTAAAGCAGACTGTATCATCCACCTGCTGCAACTGCTCTACTGTCTCCTCATCACACAGTCAAAGTGAAGTATCTCACCATGGCCTGAATGATCTGGTTCTGGTGACTTCTTCCTCAGCGACCCACCTCTCCTGTGTTCATTTTGCTTTAGCCACATTAGCCTTCTTGTTCTTCAAATATGGCAATCTCATTTCTGCCTGCCTCTGCAATTTGACGTTCAGTCTGCCTAGAATTTGACCCCACACCTCATTTTTTGATGTCCAGGACTAGGCTCAAATGTCCTTCCATCAGAGAGGCTTTTCTTGACCAACCCTATTTAAAATAGTTCCCACGCCATCAACCTTTAGCCACTCATTCATTTTATTTTCTTCATAGTATTCATCACTGTTTGAGTTTATATTTTAATTTAGCTATTTACTTGCTTATTAGAAGTCCCCTGTACTGTTATTTAAGTTCTATGAGAATAGAGAGTTTTGTCTTGCTCACCACTGCATTCTTAGTACCTAGAACAGTGCCCTGTCCTCAGTGTTTGTTGAATGAAGCAGTGAAGCCAGCATACAGATTATGAACATAAAGACAATATCTCACACATACTTACTCTTTTTCTATGTATTTCCTGTTCTATAGCCTCACTTGGAGTATTTCACATTTAGTTATATTCTTAGGAGGATGTTCCCTTGAGGTTCTATTTCAATACCATTTAGCGTATTCTATTTAGAATGTAACCTGACGCCTAGACTGATCAATAGTTGCATGAAAGTCCATAAAAACATGGAAAATATTTCAGAACCTATGCTTAGTCAATCATTCATACTCCAAGGGTCAGCAATGGCTATTTCAGTGGGGTCTAGTCTTAAAAGAACATATTTTAATTCTCAGGTTTACTTACAGTGTGGACTTTCTCTAGCCCCCGTCCTCAGGAGAATCCTAGCAATGGGCACATTGTTGGTCATGATGGCAATATCGAGAGGTGTCAACCCCTCACTGTTAGGAGTATTGAGATCTAGTTCTTCTGCTGTGTACTGATACAGAAGGATCTGCACAGCATCCATGTCCTGCTGTTCGACTGCTTCAAACATGGCTTCGTTGCCCTGGAAGTTCTGGAGAAGAACAAAAGCAGGTTAGTACAATTTCATAGACTAGTGTATCTTAGCAGCTTAGCTGTCTTAAATTTTGGGACTGCTTCAGTGACTGCATTCTCACTTGTAAGTTATATAATTTTAATTTATGCCAAGGTCTCCAACGTAAACACTGTGTTGGATCTTCCTTCCATCATTTCTAAGGGACATTGAACAGATGTGTACATTTAGATGCACTGACGCAATACAATAGAGCATGGATAGTCTACAGATAAGAGCAAACATCAGCTTTCTCAACTCAGTCTTCAGTGGAATACTTGTTTGATAGACGCTTAAAAAGTGTTCTATGAAGAAGGGAGCATGTGGTCAAATAAATTTGGTAAATATTGGATTAAGCCAAGTTACCCCATTATTTTACTCTAAGACTCTCAGGGCCTTTAATAATTTTAACGTACAATTATGACTCCAGTAGGTGGGAAATATGACCTGTTTCAAGTATTTGTTTATAGAATGTATTTTTAATTGCATTTGTTTGAACTGCCCCTGGAATAATGTTATTACAGAATCCAGTTTGGGAAATGCCGGCAGAAAGAACACAGCAATGTTAGTTTAAATTGTGACTAGCTTGGAATTGAGAGTACACTTTCTCTGTCTCAATCTCAGCCCCTCTCTTTCCACCCCATATCTCTACTATTGCTCAGACCATCATCATCCCTTGCTTGGACCATGGTAATGACCTGCCTGTTGCTAGTCTTAGTCTCCTCCAGCCCATCGCTGATACAAGAGTAGTAATCTTTCTAAAATTTACATGACATGTTCATTCCATATTTATAATCTCTAATAGCTCCATACCGCCTGCAGGCTGGTTTCCCAACTCATACACTCCTTTGTACAAACCTCTCCTCTTTCTCAACCCATAGCCCCAACCACTGAACACCTGGCATTTCTGAGCCCTCAGGGGAGGGTGGTTCAAAAGAAGTGGTATCCAAGGAGGAATTCCAGGGCTGGGTGGCAAATTGGTCCCAAAGAGAACCAAAAGTTTAATACAATACCCATAAAGACAACATGGTTCCTTTGAAAAGTTCTTTCAGATACATATTTCTATAGCTCATGGGAGAAGAGCAACCCATTTACATTTACACATCTGTCTGGTATCTTCTCCAAGAGTAGCTCAGTCTTTAAAATATTGAAATATCATTGGTCTTGACCTAGCATAGGAGTCATGTAATTAAAATGTGTAAGGTCTTCAGTGACCAAGTATTTAGATTGGCAGGTTTTATTTTCAGTCTTGTCAAAAAATGATTCTCCCTATCAAAGGCTGCAGGTCTGCTTAGCTGAGTACATAACACATGACTGAAGAAAATACAAAGCGATTATGCAAATGCTCATTTTGACAGTGGGTACCCAGGGAATAGAGTTATTTTGGCATGCAGCTCTCAGGACAATCTGCTGAATGGACAAGGGTTTTGTCAACAATCTGCCAAACTGAAGAGCCTCTGAGACTTAGGCCATAACTCAGCCACAACCAAGCCCTCCCAGAAGATGAGTTTGAAATGGGAAAACAAATGAGTGCAAAGTTAAAATGCTGCCCTGTCCAGAGTTGTGTATTTGTGATTCTTAGTATGTCTCATTTCTCATGTGCCATATTTGCTCTCACTCTTAAGTCATTTCCTCCCCCATGCTTTTGCTGGCAAACTCTAGTATGCTTCTATCTGGAAAGGCTAGGGCTCATTTCTGTTTTAAACTCAAACAAATGGTGCCATTACCCCCTGCAGAAATACCCTTGCTGAGCATGTTAATGTTATGCCCTCAGCTTTTACTGAGGGCCAATATAAGAAACTACTACATGAGAATCTTTGTAACATCACCAGTACTATTTTTTATTCTCCATTACATAATTCACCATGACAGCTTATAAAGGCCAGAGGATTTAGCAACAGAAAATATTAATGTCTCCTTATAGACCGATATACTTTCAGCTATCAGCTAATGGGATGCTATAACCGTTATTTCCCTTTCTGCTATAACTGTATAGGAATTCAGAGATAAATGTAATTATAAAATTTAGGTACTATATTTGCCTAGGTTTTTGGTATATCTATTTCTCTTCCCATCCTCACCAGTTTCTTTTTTATCCTTCCTTCCTCTTTCCTTCTCACTCACTGTCTCCCTCTATCTCGTTCTGTCTTGTTATTTCCCATTATATAATGCATATGCATTTTTTTTTTGCTTGAATTCTGTCTTGAATGCCTTTGGAAAGCATATGGAATATACATTATAAATAAATAAAAGATTGTTTATTGATCATTCAATATTTAAATGAGCAATGAAGCTCTCAAAAAGCTATTTAATTTCATACTCCCTATTTGCTGCTTTTGGTTTCTTTGGTCTATTAGAGAGTGAAAAATGAAGATGAAAGGGGGAAAATTAAGAAAGAGAAAGGGGAAATCTCACAATCACTCATACTTCAGCTAACAACATAGATATATGCAGCTCCTGTCTTAACTGACTCCCAGCATTTCTAACATTGCAAACATGAAGTTTTGAGGTAAATGTGGATCATATTAGCATTCCCTTAAATCCAAACACAACTGCCTAAATCAAACCGAGGCAAGAATATAAAGAGTTTTCTTACCACCGAGGTCTTCCTGAGACTCAGCCGGTCAGTCCTCGCTCTAAAGTAGGCCTCATCAAATGAAGAGTGGCTCCCCTTCAGTTTCTCAGAGAGGTTTCTGTACAGGCGTTTGGCAGCATTGGGAGATGATGGGGCGCTATGTTTTTTTGACTGAGAAAGATGTAAACTCTGCATTTGTTGGGTCATTTTCACACGACAGTTCCTAAGAGGAGGAAAAGATAATGTATCATTTACACAACATAATTATAAATTGACACAGAATTTTACCTTCTCTAGTAACCATCTGGAATCCTAATAAAACATTCTAGCTGGAAAAGACCTTCAAAGTCATCAAGCCAGCCTTCATGTTCTAGGTGAGAAAGCTGAAACTCAGGGAAAAGAAGAAGCTTGTTTATGGACACATAGCTAATTACTGGCAGAAAGGAAATTACCTTCATTTACTATATGAACATATACATCTACATACAAACATATATATGACATGAGCCTCTACTTCACATCTTTTTGTCTCTATCTCACTTGGAGGAAGCATCTCAATTCTATAACCCAAGGAGTCTATTCAGTTCTTCTTGGGTATATGTAATTGGTTTTATTCTGTTTACCTCCTTCTAGATCAGCGGTTCTCAACCTGTGGGCCGCGACCCTTTGGGGGTTGAATGACCCTTTCACAGGGGTCGCCTAAGACCATCGGAAAACACATATAATTACATATTGTTTTTGTGATTAATCACTATGCTTTATGTTCAATTTGTAACAATGAAAATATATCCTGCATATCAGATATTTACATTACAATTCTTAACAGTAGCAAAATTACAGTTATGAAGTAGCAACAAAAATAATTTTATGGTTGGGGGTCACCACAACATGAGGAACTGTATTAAAGGGTCACAGCATTAGGAAGGTTGAGAACCACTGATCTAGAGCATGCTGCTGTCTTCCCACCATCTCCCTTCAAATCTTGTCCTTGAATTTTTATAGCCTTATGGATCCCACAATATAATAACATGTAGAACCTCTTTTATTGAACTGTTCACAGGACTAACTTTAATGATTCCCCAATTCCTACAGGATGAAATCTAAATTCTTTAGCCTCACATACACTGCTTCTCCCTCAAGCATCATCTCCTACTATACCTCTACATTTTATGTTTCAGTCTTTCTGACTTCTTAGGGTTTCCTAAGTAGTTTAAACTTTTTCCTACTTCTGGGTCTTTGTATGCACTATTTTGTACGTATTGGAATTCCGTCTGTGCTCAAATGGTCTCTCACATCCCCAGGCAAAACTATGTAATTCTTTACTCATTCACTTAGTATATACCTGTTATAACAAATATTTTCTTGTATTGCAACTTTTTTTGGCTTTCTGTCTCCTGACTAGTCTATATGCATCTCAAGAATAAGGATTGCCAAATATATTTTTTTATATCCCTAGCATCTAAAATGTGCCTTCCTCAGGGTAAAAGAAACATAATAAATATTAGGATATGAATTGTTACTCTTCCACCTACTATGTGAACTTGGGCAAGTTACTTAACATGTCTGAATCTCATTTTTATCATTTATAAAATAGGGATAATAATAACATCCACACATTATAGTTGTAAGGATTTGATGAGATAATGCATGTAAAGAGCTTAAAGCATAGGTAGTTCATGGCAGCTGTTATTTTTCTTATAGAAGATAATAGATACCTTAGAATGGTGGTTCTCAACCTTGGCCCCCTTTGACTCCCCCCGGAATCGTTTTAAAATCCTGATTTCTGGGCCTCATCCTCCGGAAATTCTGTTTCTTTGTTACTAATGCTGTGGTCTCACCCCATAACAAAGAAACAGAATTTCCGGAGGATGAGGCCCAGAAATCAAGATTTTAAAACGATTCCCAGGTGATTCTAATGTGCAGCCAAGGTTGAGAACTACTGCCTTTGAATAAATGAAGGCATATATGAGACTGTTACATATAATATACGAAGGGGATACCCAGAAAGCTAATTTCCTCCTCATGCCTCTGAATTGGGTTTCATGTCTACTAGCACCAACTAACCTTGATTAACTTACACTTTCACAAATGGAGGCCCATCTTCACTACATTGTTGAATGTCTTTAGGCACTTTTTATGTCTTGCTTGTGATTTCCTCCAACACAAAAAGACGTTCTAGTGCCTTCTAAGTTCTAAGGTGGCCAGACCTATTCAGAATTAGTCATGCCCAGTCTTGTTTAATAGTCTTATTTAAATTTGGGAGGATAATATAAAGCACTGTCTGTAGTGTATATGTATGTGTGAATGTGTTTTCATAAATCTTTAATCTTTTAATTTACACAAAAGCAAAAATGGAAAGAGTAGGTGATTTGACATCTTTCTTTTTCCATCTACAAGTCCTTTACTTTTGATTTAATAGCAACTATAGTTATACTTCTATATCTTTTTAGTCCTACAAAAATTCCAGGTTGATATAAGCTGGCTCACAAGGGGATTGCCTTAAACTCTTTCTTTCTGCCCTCTGTCTGTAGTCTTTCCCTTCAAAATTAATGCCCCAGTTAGTGCCATCTGTCTTGTCTGCATCGTTATCATTCCCAAAATAACACTACATTTTTTGTATCTGACACAGTGCCCAGGAGTCCAGTAAATAAGTTCTTTTCAATTGATCAGATTCCAGTTACTTGCTCTACAACTGATGACACCTACCCACTGGCCCCTTTTGTCTTTGCTCATGTCCCATCTGTTCTTTTTAGTCAAAATAGATTTACTTTCTCTGTCTCTTTGACTTCCTTATCATACTCCCCAGCTGTCCCTTCCAGGCTATCCTTCAGCATATTTTTATTCTTCTAGATGTTATCTATTATTATGTATTTTTCTTCCTCTATATTTAAAATTTTGTCTGATTAGAAATACTGAGAAAGACAATTTCCTATTATCTGTTCTCATAAACATGCATGCCCCTTTCAGCTAACTGTGCTCTTAAATTTTTACCTTCATGGAAAGGAACAAGCATTTGAGAAGCATTATAGCTTTGGTTCTGGTATTTGGCAGACCCAAGCGTGAATCCTGACATTATTATCTATAATCTATGTTACTTTGGACAGTCACATAAAAATGTAAATTATCTGAGTTTGTTTAATCATAGTAGCAACTCAATAAATAACAGCAATTATTAAAGTTATCCCAAATCTTTTTCCCAAACCAGAGACACCAAAGTATATTGCAACAATCTAAATAGCTTTCTTGTTTTAAACATTGTTTTGAAATTTGACTTTTTGTATTATACTATTTAGTTTTTATTTTGATAGAAAATATAAGTTTAAATATTTTAATACATGTGTTTTTAGTAACTTATAGTAAAATAGGAAGAGCAAGTAGAACTTCAAACTATTAAAGGGAAGAGAGGATTAAAGATGAAAATTGTAAAACAAAGAGGGATATAATAAGAAAACATAATAAATACACATGTAAAGTAAAGTAGTAGGGTTAAGATTAAATATATCTGTGAGCACAATACATTCACTTGGTTTACTTTTTCTAATAAAACTGTCAATTGAGATTTTTAAAAAGCCATTTACAAGTTATACACCTAAATAAATATGTCACAGAAAGATGATAAATAGAATAATAGTATGACAGTGGAAACAGCAAACTAAGGACCTCTAAAAATTTTCTCCTCCACAAAAGCAATGAGAACACTACCAAAATTGGTCAGAATTAACTTTTTCAGAACCATATAAATTAATAAAAATTTTGCAGCAGTCCAGGAAGTGTTTATTCAAGAAGAGTGGATAAATTCAGTAAGAACAGCAAGCTTAATGGCATTTTTACCTTGCTTAATTTCCATATTCCCCATCTCTGTGGTGGCCTTGAAGACCAACAGCCTATATTCATGGTAAAACAAAACAAAATTAAAAAAAAAAAAAAAGCCTGGCAGCCATTGGTGGTGCAGAATGGTGATGGAGTTCCTTCAAAACTCCATTTTCAGAGAATTGTCATTATTTGACCTGTTTGGAGGTTTCTTGGAAGACCGCACTCTCAAGGCTTTTCTTTATTTGCCCTGACTTTGAGCTTACCAAGTGCAAATAATCTTTTCCTCTGGATATCTGTCAAAAACAAACATCAGCAACTGTTTAACATCACAGCTGCCTGAGGTGATGGATAAGAATGGGGCAAACAATAGACTAACCAAAAAGCTTAAAGGAGAAGCTTAAACGTAATGTACATGAAAGACTTTGAAAAGCTCTGACACATTCCTGGGGCTCTATCAGACCTCATGCATGCCCAGGGTTGGGAGCATTCTCATGAAACACCTGAGAAAGTCCTAAGCTCTCATCTCTAGCTGACTTTGAGGCTCTGTGCAAGCACGAAGTGAAGGCTAAGGCAGAGATGTCAACTGCCTAATGAGTATTGAAGGTATGCCCACAAATGCACACAGAGCCCCTCTGCAATTACTGGGAGACTTCTTAGTTCCAGGCACTTAAGAATATTTTTGTTCAATCATTAGCTGACCACTAAACTAACCAAGAAGAGACTTAGTAGCCACATATGACAATAAATACAGACTTTACAGATACAGTTCTAAGAAAACATCACTAAACAATAAACTTTGAGGAAGGGGGATAATCTGATTTCTAGAGTTCCTGCATTATGTTATTTAAGATGTGTTTGCAACAATAACAACAACAAAGTAAGGCATGTGAAGAAACAAAACTATTTTCCATTCACAGAAAGTAAAGCAGTCAATAAGCAAGGCCAGATGCTGGATTTATTAGACAAAGACTAAGTTTCATATTTTAAATATTTTCAAGGAACTAAAGGAACCATGTCTAAAGAAACTAAGGAAATTATGAGAATGATATCAAACAAAATGTTCTAAAGAAACATGTTTCTTTTTTTTTCTTCTAAAGAGAAGGGGACAGATCTGTTGAATGAAAGTGGGCTGGTCTCTGCAACATGACTATAGGATCAGACTTTAGGATATAGTTAGCCAGGGAAAGATATTCTATAGAAAAGTTACTTCTAGTTTTATATTTTCTCTTTTTGCATCTTAATACTTTTTTTAATTCCCAGATCTTTAACTGAAGTCACGTTAAATGTTACGGCCTGCCAAACATTTAAGGAAGAAATAATACCAATTCTACACAAAGTCTTCCAAAAAGCTTCATTTTGAGGCTACCATTGCCCTGATAGCAAAGTTAAAAAAAAAAAAAAAAAAGACAT